ATTATTATTTTTTTGAAGGGATTAATACCCTTCAAAAAATGATCCGCCAATCAACTATCAACCTGGTTCCTACTTACTGCTGGTAAACAGAGGTGTGTGGAGTAAGGAAACTTGCCCCAACGTTTTGCCCGGCCCAGGAATCGAACCCGGGTCCTTTCACCTGCGAGGCGAGTGCTCTAACCACTGAGCTGCAGGATTCCACGGTAGCAGTAGGAACTCCTTTGGCCCCTAGGTGGGGCTGCAGGCTACTGTTAACTGTTCCCACCTACATACCAGGTTAAAGCACGCTCTCGTTTGTCAAACTCTTTTGCGATGCAGTTCTCACAAGTGCCAGTGGCTTGGGACATCCTCCCGACGTGAAAGGAGCTTTCCAAATGTCACTTCGTTGTTGTTCTCCACATTGGTTCATAAGATCACAAGATTGATTTCGATGAACAAGGATTTTTTGCCTCTTCCAATCTCATCCTTCAGAACACATTATAAAGGCATTCAAGAGGACACTAGACCTTCACATGAAGAAGAGAGGAATAGAAGGGTATGATAGGGAGCAAGGAATGAGTGGTGTGAACACCAATCCTACCATCCCTGCATCATAGCATCAAGCTGCTTTTTAAATGAGTCCAGTATCCAGGCCTCAACCACTCGATGAACTGCTCCAACAACAACAAGATTACATTTGTATAGCGCCTTACACGTCGGGAGGATGTTCCAAGGCGCTGGACAGTGTACAGCATTTCAGACCCGGCTGAGCGGAGGGAGCGGGCGGGTTGGTAGAGGGTTAGGAGGTCGCAGAGGTAGGGTGGGGCGAGCCCATGGAGGGCTTTGTAGGTGAGGACCAGGATCTTGATGAACAAGAGTTTCAGCGGCCTGAGGGGTGAGGTAGTGGCGGAGTCGGGCGATGTTGCGGAGTCATTGATTATTCTCTGAGTAAAGAAAAACTTCCTGTTATCTGTCCTGAAATTGCATCCTTCAAGCCCCCCCCCACTCCCTCTTATCATTTACTCTTACCTTTCTTCCTTCAAACCTCCCCTGTTGCAACCCGGCCTCCCAGTCACCTGTGTGAAGTGCTTCGACACGCGCGCCTGATGTAAAAGGTACTAAGACAAATGGGCAACAGGAGAAACAGGGCCGAGAAAAGGAGGAATGCAGTCAAAAATTTTTTTTTATTTTTTAACCCATTCCTCGTGTACAGATCCCATCTGCCCCAGAAGTGGTTCCAGTGGTTTAGAAACCTAAAGTCCTCCTTCCTGCACCATTTCTCAGCCAGGCATTCATGTGTTTGATCCTCCCGGTTTGATATTCACTTGCATAAGGTATTAGGAGTAATCCCGAGATCACCACCATTGAGGTCCTGCTCTTCAGCTTCTTCCCAAGCTTCTGATATTCTCCCTGTAGGGTCTCAGCCCTTTTATCACCTACATCATGGATCCTGACATGGACCACAGCTTCCGGATTTTCCCCTTTCCCCCTGTAGTATGTTTTTCACCCATTCCGTGACGTCATGCACCCTGGCCCCAGGGAGGCAGCATACTAGGCGCGAGTCCCGTCTTTTATGGCAGAAACGCCTGTCTATCCCTTTACCTGTTGTATCCCCGATAACAACAGCATTGGCATTTTTCCCCTTATCCCCCTGAACATCCATTACCTTTTGACTCTTCTCGCCAGAGGTGTCCTCACCGGTATCCAGTACCGAGAACCGGTTTGTGAGTGCCACACTCTTAGAGGATTTCTGTACTGCCTGTTTTTTTGCTCTACGTCGGATGGTCACCCACTCAGCCTTTTTATGAGCCCTCTGTGTAACTGGGGTGACCACCTCCTGAACTCTCTGTGACTGTGGGATGACCACCCCCTGAACTCCCTGTGGCTGTGGGGTGACCACCCCCTGAACTCCCTGTGGCTGTGGGGCACCACCTCCTGAAAAGTTCGATCCATAAATTCTTCAGCCTCCCGTATCCTATGTAGTGACTGTAGCCTCTCCTCAAGCTCAGCGACCCTGACTTCAAGCTCAAGTAGTTCCTACACAGGTGTTTGTCCAGAACACATGAACCATCCTGGAGTTCCCACGTGGTGCACAGTGTACATGGAATGGGTCTCAGCTGCCCTGCCAGGTTTTCAGACATCTCAACAATTTCGGGGTAAATAGGTAAGAACAAGTAATTTCACACCTTTTATTCCCTTGCTCACACTCCTTATACACTAAACGCCTGCTCAACACCTACTGCCACAGGAATCTGACCTTTTGTGCAGGCTCTTGGAGGGTTTGTTTCTCCTTTACAAGTTCTCACCTGCACCAAATTCCCCCTCGGCACCGAATTCCCACTCTCACCTAATTCCCAAACAGAATTCTCACTCCTTTGCCTCCTCATGTTCTTGGGCTCTCTGCTCAAGTTCTGTGAATCAAATGGTGCAGGATTTGTTCTGTGAAAGTAGCCTAAAGCACTGAATTTCCCTGCATGGTGAAAAAAAACTAAGAAGCATAGGATCTTTTTTAAAAATCTGCCCCCAAATCGATTGATTATCTTAGATAATAATTACTTATACCACACTTACAGTGGCAAATAGGAGTCATGTCAGTGATGTGATTTAGATCCTGTTTACCACTGGAAAATCACAATTGTGGAGTCCTGTAGCTCAGTGGTTAGAGCACTCGCCTTGCAAGCAAGAGACCTGAGTTTGAAACGTTGGGCAAGTTTTCTTACTCCACACGCCTCTGTTGACCTAGCAGTCAATACGAACCTGGTTGTTAGCCGATTGGTAGATCGTTTTTACGGGAGTAATAATCCCTGCAAAAAAAATTGATCAACTCAATCCACGACTGTTTGTGGGATACTGCTGTGCGCAATTGCCTCCGCACAAAATATACAGTCACTACACTTCGAGTATATTCTGTGAAGCGTTGTGAGACGTCTCAAAGACATGATAAGGTGCTATATCAAATGCAAGGATTATTATTACAGAGGATTTTTAGTGCACATTTTATTGGCCCAAGAGATTTGTATTGTGAAACCTAGGAGTATCGTCAAAAACCAGAGTGAGGTACACCACCAATTTCAAAAGGTAACCTAAATTAAGTAAAAATTAGCTTGGATTTTAAAAGCTTGTAGGTTTTGGAAGGAAGAAAGGTGACTAACACCACCACCACCATCACAACAACAAAGTTACATTTGTATAGCGCCTTTCATGTCGGGAGGACGTCCCAAGGCGCTGGACAGTCAGTGTTTCGGACCCGAGCTCAGGGTCAGAATCGGGGAGGGTGGAGGGCAGGGGGGCAAGGAAGGTGATCGAAGGTATGATCAAAGAGGACGGTCTTGAGGTGGGTTTTGAAGGAGGCAAGGGAGGGGGCAAGGCGGAGTGACTGCGCAATGAAGTTCCAGAGGGTGGGGCAGAGTGACTGAATGCTCGGCCGCCATGAAGCAGGCTGGAGCCCACTGACCGGAGGCAGTGGGCAAGTTGGTAGGAGGTTAGGAGATCGCAGTGGTAGGGGGGAGCAGGGCCATGGAGGGCTTTGAAGGTGAGGACCAGGATCTTGAACTGTATCCTCTGTGTGATGGGAAGCCAGTGGATTCGGGCGAGGATGGGGGTGATAGGGTCACGGAGCCTGTTGCGGGAGAGGGCACGGGCTGCAGAGTTCTGGATGATCTGCAGCCTATGGAGGGAGGAGTTGGGGAGGCCGACAAGCAGGGAGTTTGCATAGTCAAGCCTGGATGCTATAAATTCGACAGCCTGTTGTGCGAGACAGTGGTGGAGCCCAGCAATGTTGCGGAGGTAAGGAAAGGCAGAGCAGGTCATGGTATGGATGTGGGCTAGAAAGGATAGTTGAGGGTCAACCAGGATGGCAAGGTTCTGGGCTGGCTTAGTAAGGTGGGTGTGCAACCATGGATGGTGATGCTGTCAGCGCCTGAGATGTGGAGGCGCTGACGGGAGCCAATCTTGTTGACGTTCAACTGAAGAAAGTTAGCTTTCATCCAGGGCTTGATGTCTGACAGACATTCTGTCAGGACAGCAGTGGGTCCTGGAGTCAAGGCTGAAGGCAGAGAGGTAGAGTTGGGTGTCATCTACATACATGTGGAAGTTGACCCCATGTTTGCGGATGATGTCACCAAGAGGGAGCATATAGATATTGAAGAGGAGGGGACCAAGGACCGAGCCCTGAGGAACGCCGCACGAGATGGTACTGGGGCTAGTGGAGAAAGTGTTTGTGGAGATGAAGTGGAGATGTTGTGAGAGGTAGGATCTGAACCATTCAAGAACAGAATCATGAAGGTTGAGGTGAGAGGAGAGGCGGTGGAGGAGGACACAGTGGTGGAAGATATCGAAGGCAGCAGAGAGGTCAAGGAGGACGAGGAGGCAGATGGACAGAATGTCATTTGTCACTTTGACCAAAGCAGTTTCTGTGCTGTGGGTGAGGTTCGTGAAGGGAGTGGCAGGAGAGGAAAGAGGGAAGCTTTAAAGTGCTGATAAAGAATTGAATTGAATAGGCCGCTGAGATCCTCTTTCCTGCATTCATCACATTCAGGCTCGACTACGCTAACTCCCTGCTTGCTGGACATCCCAACTCTTCACAAGATGCAGATTATTCAGAACTCTGCAGTTCGTGTCCCCTCCCATACCAAGCTCCGTGAACCGATCACCTCTATCCTTGCCTGCTTCCCCATCCCATACCAACCTGTCCGCTCCCTCTGCTCAGCAAGCACTGGCCTGCTTCATGTCCCCTGCCTCCCCCATCAGGCCTTCAGCTTTTCTGCCCCATCCTCTGGAATGCCTTCCCGGAATCCCTCCAACTTGCCCCCTTCCCTTACTAATACAATTAGTTTTCGCTCCCTTCAAGGCCAGTCTCAAGAACTTCCTGTTTGATCGTCCATTCCCAACTGCCTACCCATCACCCCTTTAGATTCTAATCTCCAGCTCTGTCCAACCCCTTGGGACATCCTTCTGACTTGAAAGGCACTTCATAAATGTAATTTTGTTGTTGAGTAACAGACAGTGTTTAATTTTAACAGAATGGCAATGGTTGGAATGGTGTTTTTGGAATGTGGAAAGAACAAGCAAAGAAAGTTCAGAGGATCAAAGCATCGTGGTACTGCGGAGAGTAGATAAAGATAAAGAAATGTGCCATGAAGAGAAGTTGGGTCTAGAAGTAAGAATCTGAACATCATTTTCAAATATTGTTTTTCTCTAGGCATTATCAGTCCATCAACCTATTACCTTCTAACCTAGTTTGAGTAAGTCTGCCATTATACATTAGCTACTCCCCCTCCTAGTCACTTCTGTACAGATTTCAGATGAAAGACATCATCTTTGTTTTCCTTTCCCAACTATAAAAATGTATGTTCTTCAAGCATTTTATTCTGAAAACCTTGAATAATGATTTTTCACATCAGGCCTTAATGGTATCAGGCATAATAATAATAAAAATCTTTGCATTTGATATAACGCCTTATGCCATATCTACGAGATGTCTCAAAGCGCTTCAGAGAAATAGTGTAAAGTGAATTGACTGATTATTTTGGAGTCCTGTAGCTCAGTGGTTAGAGTACTCGCAAGCGAGAAACCTGGGTTAGATTCTCGGTAGGGTAAAACCTTGGGCAAGTTTCCTTACTCCACTCACCTGATAATAGTACCTCAAACAAAAAAAACAATAGTAATTTGGTCACTCAATCCACGACTGTTTGTGTAACACTGCTGTGCGCAATTGGCTGCCAAGTTTCACCCACAAATAAACAGTCAATTCACTTTACAGGAAATGCTGTGAAGCACTTTGAGACGTCTTGAAGATGTGAAAAGAGCTGTATCAAATCCAAGGATTATTATTATTTTGTGGCCGAAACACGGCAGCCAATTGCGCACAGCAGTGACCCACAAGTAGTTGTGGATTGAAGAGACCAAATTTTTTTTTCTTTGGAAGGAACTTTTACCCCCGAAAAAGCGATCTGCCAATCAACTAACAACTGGGTTCTTACTGCTGGTTAACAGAGGCATGTGCAGTAAGGAAATTTGCCCAACATTTCGTCCTGTCAGGACTCGAACCCAGGTCTCTCGCTTGCGAGGCAAGTTGCTCTAACCACAGAGCTACAGGATTCCATGTAGCGCATAGTGCAAACAATACAAATTCAAGTCTACAGGCAATTACGATTTGCAATAAATTGTCAGATCAGATCTACCTTACTGTTTTCAACTTGGCCTACGTAAAAGAGCAACTAGAATGATCTTAAATGCAGAGTGACTGATATGTGAAAAAATACTGAAGAAATTGGTTGAGGAATGTTTATTTTTTGTTACTGATAGAGCAAACCCTGACTCTTACTTCAAGTCGAGAGCCCAGAGTGAGCTACGTCCGGAGTGAGGCGAGGCCAGAGTGTGAGGGAATTTGGTGAGAGTGGGAATTGCTTCTGTGAGTGTCGTGAGAACTGCTATCGTGAGTACATAACCCGATTTGTTGTTATTATTATTCAAGTCTTGTACTAGTTGTTGTAGTTGTTTTAAGTCTTGTGTTAGTTAAAATAGCTGATACCATTGGGGTAACTTTACAGGGAGCAGCTGTAGCCAATTAGGCCTAGCCAATAACAAGTAACTTATTGATTAACTTAACTTATTGATTAATCACTTGATTAGGTGTTAATTCCAAATTACTGCTGAGCAAATCAGAAACGGGTTGCACCCAGAAAGTATAAATAGGAGATAGCTGCGAGAGCCACTACTGGGGGAGGTGGGATCATTACCTTGCGGATGGGCGGCACTTAAGCAAGGCAGGGGTTAGCTTCCTGGCCAAGAGATTATCGAATGCTGGGGGGCTAATTTAAACTAGTGGTGAGGGGGGATGGGTATCCCAGGATAAACAATAGATTAGGGAATAGAGGAAAAAGACAAGTGGGAAATATAGAGCAGGTACATGTGGACAATTTCCTCAAATGCATGTACCTAAATGCACGTCGCTTAGGGAATAAGGTTGATGAGCTGCAGGTTCAACTGGCCGTAGGGGGTTACGATGTGGTAGCAGTAACTGAGACATGGCTCAAGCCAGGACAGGAATGGGAGATAAATATTCCAGGGTATAATGTGTTCAGGAAGGATAGAGAAGGAAGAAAGGGTGGAATGGTGGCAATATTAGTTAAGGATACAATTGTAGCTGTAGAAAGGGACGAGACTCTAGAGGGCCCGACAACAGAATCGATCTGGTTAGAGGTCAGAAATAGGAAAGGAGTGGTTACACTGATAGGGGTTTACTATAGACCACCAGAGAGCGGAAAGGAGATGGAAGAGCAGATCTGCAACCAGATCATGAACAGATGTAGGGCGAACAGAGTTGTCATAATGGGGGATTTCAATTATCCCAATATAGATTGGCAAAATCGCAGCGTTAAGGGCAAGGCCGGAGAAAGATCCATCAACTGTGTACAGGAAAATTTTCTTGAGCAGTATGTCTCCAGTCCTACAAGGAAGGAAGCATTGCTGGACCTTGTCCTATGGAATGAAGTAGGTCAGGTTGAACAAGTTTCGGTAGGGGAGCATCTAGGTAACAGTGACCATAATATTACTAGATTTAGATTACTCATGAACAAGGACAAAGTACAGTCAAGGGTGAAAATGCTTGACTGGAAAAGAGCTAATTTTGATGGGCTAAAGAGGGACCTAGAGTTGGTGGACTGGCAAGTAAGAATGGCAGGTAAAATGACTCATGAGCAATGGGAAATCTTCAAAGATATGATAGCTCAGGGTCTAAATAGATATATTCCCACAAAAGGGAAATGTGCGAGAACCAAGCCAGCTTGGATGACCAGGGATATTCTGTCTAGGATGAAAAGAAGAAGATGGCGTACGACAATTGGCAGATGCAAGACACTGAGGATAGCAAAGCGCATTATAGAGAATGCAGGAGTGATCTTAAAAGAGCGATAAGACAGACTAAAAGATCGCATGAGAAGAGGTTAGCGGGTAACATAAAGGGGAATCCTAAAATATTTTATAAGCACATAAAGGAAAAANGGTTAGTTAAAGGTAGGGTGGGGCCAACCAAAGACAATGACGGCAATCTTGTTGTGGAGGCAGAGGCTGTGGCTGATGTACTGAACGAGTACTTTGCATCTGTCTTTGCAACGGAAACGGATGCCCCAAATGCCGCAGTATTGGATGACAGGGCAGAGGACACAGATCAGATTACTATAGACAGAGAGGAAGTTCTGAAAAGATTGACTGGGCTCAAAATTGATAAGTCACCAGGACCAGATGGGTTTCACCCAAGGTTGCTGTGGGAGATACGGGTTCAAATAGCGGAGGCTTTGGCCATTATATTTCAATCGTCATTGGACACAGGAGTGGTGCCAAGAGACTGGAGAGTGGCTAATGTTACCCCACTCTACAAAAAGGGGCAGAAAGACAAGCCCGGAAATTACAGGCCAGTCAGCCTAACTTCGGTAATAGGAAAGCTACTGGAGACCGTAATCCGGGACAAAATAAATCTCTACTTAGAGGAACACGAGGTAATTAGAGACAGCCAACATGGATTTGTTAAAGGCAAATCTTGCCTAACAAATCTAATAGAATTTTTTGAAGAGGTGACTGCGAGGGTTGATGAGGGAAATGCGGTGGACATTATTTACATGGATTTTAAAAAGGCTTTTGACACAGTACCGCATAAGAGGTTAATAAAAAAACTGGAGGCCCACGGTATTAAGGGGACAGTAGCCGTTTGGATTAGGAACTGACTGAGTGACAGAATGCAGAGGGTGGTGGTTAATGGGTGTTTCTCGCAATGGAAGGAGGTGTGCAGCGGTGTCCCCCAGGGATCGGTATTGGGACCACTGCTCTTTCTAATATATATTAATGATCTGGACTTGGGCATAGGGAGCACTATTTCCAAGTTTGCAGATGATACCAAGTTAGGTAGGGTAGTAAATAGTGAAGAAGCTTGTGACGGACTGCAGGCAGACATACACAGAATGGGGGAATGGGCTGACATGTGGCAGATGGATTTCAATGTAGATAAGTGTGAGGTGATACACTTAGGTAGGAAAAATGATAGGAGGCGATATAGGCTTGGAGCTCAATCTTAAGGGGGGTGAACGTACAGAGAGATCTGGGCGTTCAAGTAAGCGAGTCATTGAAGGTGGCAGAGCAGGTAGATAGGGCAGTAGGGCATTTGGTGTACTGAGCTTCATTAGTAGGGCATAGAGTATAAGAGTAGGGAAGTTATGCTTAATCTGTACAAAACACTGGTTAGGCCTCAGCTGGAGTACTGCGTCCAGTTCTGGGCACCTTACCTCAGGAAGGATATTAAGGCACTGGAAAGGGTGCAGAGGAGATTCACGAGAATGATACCAGGAATGGGGAACCTTAGCTATGAGGACAGGCTGGAAAAGTTAGGACTTTTCCCATTAGAGCAGAGAAGGTTACCATTAGAGCATAGAGGTCTTCAAGATCATGAAAGGTTTCGACAGGCGAGATAGGGAAAAGCTGTTTCCGCTGGTAGGTGTGTCTGTGACTCGTGGTCACAGTCTTAAGATATCTACCAAAAGAAGCAGAGGGGAGGTTAGAAGAAATTTTTTCACTCAGCGAGTTGTTGGGATTTGGAATGATCTGCCCGAAAAGGCAGTGAAGTCCGATTCGATAACAGCTTTTAAGAGAGAACTGGATAGGTATCTGGAGAAGACAGGTTTGCAGGGTTATGGGGAGAAAGCTGGTGAGTGGGGTTAGTGAAAGTGACGCTCTGTCAAAGAGTCGCACAGACTCGATGGGCCGAATGGCCTCCTTCTGTGCTGTAACATTCTATGATTCTATGATTCAACGTAACTTAAGAAATAAGACAAAATGATCCAAATGTACATTAAGAATATATATCAGAAACGCTGGCTTACTCAATTAGTGTGCATTATTTGGAATAATCAACCAACCAAGTTTAAGAAAAACATGCATAAAAAGGAATTTCATCCTCAAAATTAAAATTATCCTACAAATTTGAGTTGGTCGTAATGAGCTTCCTTTAATTAAATTGTACATCTCTGCATCCAGTCTTGTGTGATGTGATAACACTAATGAGGAATAGCCATAAATCAAACCATTAAAATATTTCCCTTTTTTTAAACGCAGCTAAAAGGTGCAGTTATTAACAACAACAACAAGATTACATTTGTATAGCATCTTTCACATTGGGAGGACGTCCCGAGGCACGTCGTGCAGTGTACAGCATTTCGGACCCAAGCTGGGGTCGCGGGGAGAAGGGAGGGTAGGAGAAGGGGGGTGGCCGATGGCATGGTCAAAGAGGAGGGTTTTGAAGGAGGGGGCGAGGCGGAGTGATTGAAATTCCAGAGGTTGGGGGCAGAGTGGCTGAAGGCTCTCTCGCCAATGGTGGGTTGGGGGATTCTTTAAAAAGTATTCTTTAAAAATAAGAAAATGGGGGAAACTCTGTATAATATGTAGTTTTGGAGCAGTGGTGTGGCATATCTGGGATAAAAGTGACTCATTTTCATTATTGCATTAATTCACAGTTAATAGATGTTTTATTACATTTACTGTTGATTACATTACTTTCAATATTTTCAATTTTTTAAATGACTTATTTTTAAATACATTATTTTTGATATTATGTTTTTACATTAAAACAAACTTATTCAAGTTCATTTAATCAATGTATGTCCAGTAATAATATATACAGCGCAGGATAATGATCGGTCACGTTCTGTATCTGATCTAAATTGTATCTGACCCTTGTGCGCTTAATCGTCAGTTAATGCAGACATGAAAAAAGTTCCATTATTCATCATCTTGAAGAGATGTTTCAGGATGAAAAAAAACACTTTGCGTATTATTCCTTCTCATTTACTGTTAAATTGTTATTTTATTAAAATATCACGTTGCAAGAACTGCACAGATCTTGGCACCAGCGAGAGCAAGGAAAGATTTTTTTTAATAAAATTTGTGTGGGTTTTAGCTTCTTGGAAACGATTTTCGTTGTAAATCATCGTAACTCCCACACTGTAAGAAATACTGTGTTTATCAGAACTGCACCTGATGAATAGAACCTGGTGCTTTCCCCTGAACTATTGTTAACATTATTAGGTTTTAAAAGTCTTCTTTTTTGTTTACCACATCTAAAGCTTTAGTTATGTAACATCTTTATATATATATGTATATATCTGCCAAACACAGGTCCTAGAAGTTTATTATTTAAATGTTTTGTGCTATTATTTTCTTGTGACAAAATATTTTTAAACTGGTTTCTTATCCAACTGGTAGAAGGTGCTTAAATGTCATCCACATTATTCTTAAATATATTTTCAATGTATCTTGCTTACTTGCTCTCTGCGTCTTTGTGTGTTTATGTCTTTCTCTTTCTTTCTCACTTATACACACACTCACAAACACATTCTCATTGTTTTCAAGTAATATCATGTAATATATTAAGACTTTTTCACTCATT